AAAACCAGAAAATTCGAAAAAATTTGTTATGTGCGCGTTGTCCCGCCTTTACTTTTGAATTATTGATTAGTTTAAAATTTTTAGATTGTTTGGGTTGCTGTTTTTATGTATTGTTCAAGCTCGGGACTCTAAAAGGAAGATCAAATCTTGAAAATGAATTAGTGGCGCTCTCACCTTGCAGCTCTACCAGATGGCGCCATGCTGAGGAAAGACAGCAAAAACTCACTTTTGCAGGCCTGAAAAGTACACGTTGTCTCCAAACAGTGCACCAGATTCTGTCAGTGACCACCACAAGAGCAGTCGCCATCATCTCCTCCCCTCCCTCTCTCCAGGCAATCTGACAACACACCGCAAGACAATGGCCAACTTTGTCACCGTTCTGGGCAAGTTCTTCGAGGAGTACCGCAAGCAGACGAGCAAGCGGCTGAAGGCGATCGACGCCTACCTGGTGTACATCTTCTTCACCGGCGTCTTCCAATTCGCCTACTGTCTTCTCGTGGGCACCTTCCCCTTCAACAGCTTCCTCTCTGGATTCATCTCCACGATTGCGAGCTTCGTGCTGGCCGTCTGCCTTCGGGTGCAGGTTAACGAGCAGAACAAGAGCGAATTCGCAGAGCTAAAGGACGAGCGCGCCTTTGCCGACTTTATCTTTGCCCACATCATTCTCCACTTGGTGGTGGTCAACTTTCTCGGATAAGCACTTTTCATTCCCGGCAAAACATTGCAAAGCACACATTTTTACCTTTTCATATGTTACCGTCTTAACATTTTATTATAAGACAAACAGAAGAAAGATGCATGAATTCGAAATGAAGCCGAGTGAATATAAAAGCTAATACTGTACAGTAAAACTTCCTCAAATAAAAAATGAAGTTTTTCCACCTCCCTCCTGTTAATTAAGTTCATCCAAATGCTTATTGATGTCGTTGCATATTTCAATAGTCTCCTTCGTAAAGACGCCCGCTTTGATGAACATCTGCGCTATATTTTCGATCTCCTGAATGAAGATTGCGCTCTTCCCCTTATTATTAAGCAGCTCTCGAAGAATGGTGAAGCACTGCTCAAAGGCCAGCTTACTGAGCTCCTTTCTCTCCGCGTCGTTGATGTACCGCTTATCCAGTTCCGGCTTCTTGTGCAGTACAATGGACATCTGAACCAGCTGTTGGTAGTCCTTGTCGGCGATGTGCGACCGAATGAGCATCGCCGTGGCGCGGTACATGTGCTGGTTAAAGTTGCCCGAGCGCTCAATCTCGTCCACCGGAATGCGCCAAATGTTGTTGAAGAAGTTGCCTGGCTTTCGATCATGAAAGAGCCCAGGAATGGCTTTGCCTTTGCTTCCCGCGCTCTCTGGATCAAACTGCAGATGAATTTCGTCGCGATTTTCCGGGCCCCCGAGAAGCAGTCCCTTGACGATGTTGTAATTACTGAAGACAAAGTACTCATCAGCCAGGCGGTAGTAGGACTTGTAGTGACCAGGGTATCGTGCGAGACACCGCTTCAGGGCAAAGGCGCACATGATGATCAGCTCATTGCGACTCTTGTTCACGTCAAACTTTGTCTCGCGTTCGCCCATCAGCGAAAGCAGGTCGCCCATCAGCTCGCTGATCGCCGGATCGACCATCTCACCGGAGGGAAGGAGCAGGGCGACAGCCGCCTCCTCCACTGCAGCCACTTTGGAGCCGCCCTTGCCGGCGCCTGACGCTCCTCCTCCTCCCCCTCCGGCGGAGGACTTTTTGGATGAAGAGGAAAAGGCTGCATGTCCGGCCGTGGATGGTATCGTCCTTCTCGAGACAAAGGGCGTCTTTGAGGCGCTCAGAAGGAACCACTTCACCTGTCTCATCATCCGCGCGGAGAACTTGCGATTGTGCAGCAGCCACTTGAGGACGGTGGCATGCGTGCGGTAGTACACCTCCAGCGCCTCCATTGCCAGGTACTGCGGACTGTAGTAGTTAATCTTCTTCGGGTAGGCGGCGCCGTCGATGTAGAGACAGAGGTCCGCCCACTGGTAGTACTGCAGCGTCTTCAGNACGGCGCCATCGATGTAGAGACAGAGGTCCGCCCACTGGTAGTACTGCAGCGTCTTCAGCAGGTTCTCCTTCTTCTTCTCGGAGACCTTGCCGAGCATGTAGTACGCCAGCCACAGCTCCTCGGCGTCCTTCTCCGAGTTTCGCACCATTTCAAAGCAGTGCTGCGCCTTCTCGAGCATCTCCTCCCGCTTGAACCGGACAGCGGAGGTGTCCAGCTGCCACTGGTACGTCTCGGCTGCCTTCACCAGTCGGCCCATGTTGCTGGCGATACTGTAGGCGGCAAAGCCAAACTCAATCCACAGCTTGCTGTTGCTTCCATCGAGCTTCATCGCCTGCTCGAAGCACTGCACCACGGCAAAGGCAGTTCGCTGGTACTTGGCCTCATTGGGGCGGACGCCCTCGATGAGCAGCTGATCGAGCTGGTAGTTGGTCGACAGGGCCAGACCGGCCCAGGCGTCAAAGCGGCGCGGGTTGTACGCAAGGTCAAAGATGTAGTACTTTCGGGCATTTGCAAAGTCGCGATTCTTAAAGTACCAGTCCGCCAGAAGGTAGTAGATGGTGGTGAGTATTCGAGGCGGTGTCTCCACCACATCCTCCTCACCCAGCACTTCCTCATCCTCCAGATTTACATCTTCACCGTTAAGGTAGTCCGTAATGCGAACGCTTCTCCTCAGCGGTTTCAACTCCCTCGGCACGAGGTGTTTGATGCGCAGAAAGAAGTCCCTCATGTCCGGGGTGATGCCCCGCTGTCGGGCGTTACTGTCAAACTCGGGCATGCTGTCCGTTGGCTCAGAGTAGACGTACACCTGCTCACAGTGCGCCCACTTCAGCTCAATATGCGGGGAGGTGTGCGTGCAGCTTTGCGACTTCCTCGAGGGAAAGTTAAACAGACAGCTGAAGGCCGTCAGAACTTCGTCCTCCAGTTCATGCTCGATGAAGACTTTCAGCGAGACAAGAAGAAACTCGCCATCATTCGCCGTGCAGACGCCCTTCCGACCAAGAACGAGGTGGCCCTTGGTGCACAGTTTGATGAGTGGGTTGTCCGCGGCACGGTAGTCCACACCCTCGGCGACCAGTGCCCAGTAGAGGATGAGCCAAGGAAGAGCGCCATGCTTGCAGTCATTCGCAGACGCCATCTTTGTCACCTTGCTAACGATCCTCGGCGACAGCTTTGCTCGATCGCCGTATCGGACACACTCGTAGATTGTCTTCAAGATGGTTTTGTGAGAGAGATCGGACCAGCTTTCAAACAGCTCGACGCCTTTCTGCCACATTTTGGCGCTGACAATCGCTTCGCAAAAATCGGCCTTTTCCTCAACTGTCAGTTCCGCTTCAGATTTCGAGAAAATGAGTTGAATTATCTCCAAGTAGTTTTTCTCAGAGGAAGATATCTCCGTAGCCTTTGGCATTGTCTGCATTTTCAAGACGGTATTGATGTACTCAGCATTGATAAGCAGATTGTTAGAGGCGACGACGGCCATTGCTGATGTCGAAGAGTTGGTTGCGGTAGATTTTCCAGTGGGGGCAGCATCTACACCCGGACCACTGTCACCTTCCATTGCCACATCTTCCGCGGGGGCGTTATCACATACATTTTCCTTTCCCTTGTCACCCGAGTTGATCAGATCAAGCGAGTACTCAAGCCAGTCGTTGTTGAACTCTTTTGTGCCGCGAAGAACCAGCAGGCGAACAATAAAGCTGAGGTACTCTTCCTGTGAAATAGGTGCATCTTTTCCTAACTTTTCAAGCATCATCGTGAGGAAAACAGCCTCCTCCTTGTCGTACTTGATCTCATTTGCGGTTAGACACGTCCAAATATGCGACAGGGTAATGTCTTTGCCAATTTCGCTTATACACGGCACAGGAAGTGGATGGACATCACTGCGAAAACAAGTTGTTAAAAACATGTCAAAGTTATTAAAACTTTCCTGCTTACCGGTAAATTTTGTACAGTTGACTGAACACTGGAGGTATAGAGATGTGCTTGGTGGTGCTCAACTGATTGAGGAAGCAGTCTATGAGCTCGTAAATGTTCACAGGCCGAGAGCCGGTACTGAAGAGTCGTTCGAGGGAGTCAAGACACTGGTCGACAGCTTTACCATCAATGGCAGAGGCCGTTTTAGCAGCGGGGGTCTCAGGAAAGGGCGCACTGCTTGAATTGCTGCTGTTATTCTCCTTGTCGAGAGAGGAGTCCGCCTGGGAAGAGGGATTGACCGTTTTCAGGCTGCTTGGGAGCAGCTCATGGATACTTTCCAAAACACTCTGCTCGTCTTCAAGTTCGCGCGCTTTGCTGGACGTTTTGCTGTTCTTCCCTCTTACTGATCGTCGCTGTTCGACACACTCAAATAGGGATTTGCTAGAAGTAAGCTGGCTGCTGTTGCTGTTGTTATTTGAGTCGGAAGAGGGTTTTGATGAACCATTTGCTGGAGGAGCCTTATCTGACGCCACATTGGCGCTAACAGAGTTTTCTGTTTCAGCGCTCTTAACGTCGCGATTACTAATGTTGAGCATTATGGCCGTACCCACGTTTAAACTTTCTGAAAGAATAATCTCATGAAGAGCAAGAATCTTCTGACCGATATCTCCTGGCGTTCGGCATCGAAGTCGGTCAATATCAAGGCTCAACTTGCGTCGCTTTTTGGCTTTACTTTCTTCGTCTTCATTGTCAAGTAATCGTTTTGTTTGAATTTGCTTCAGCTGACTGATCGTCTTTAAATATACCTCATCAAGCAGGTTTTCGTCTTTCGGTTGGTATTCGCCCCCATATTTGCTAAAGACGTAACCGAGGTAGTCCTTCATGTCATCGGCGATTCGGGGCATTAGGCGGATAGATTCATTAATAAGTATGATCGCTTTAAAGTAGTTTTCATCGAGCTGCAGTGCACGTATGCACATGTTCACACAGCTGTACAGTTCGTTGAGGATAAAGTAAATTTCCATCAGATTATCAATCACAGTGAAGTTGCTCTTGTTGATGTTATAAGCCTCCTCGAAGCATCTTTTTGACATGAGAAAGGACATCATTTCATTGTACTTGCGACCTGTTAGTAAAAGAACTTTAAGAAATGACATTCAAATAACTTTAAAGTTAACAACGTTACCTGTGTTAATCCACAGATTTTGGTCTGAGCCATCTAGTTCTAAGGCGTCAAACAGGAGATCGAGATCGTTACTGAAGAGGCCGAGATGCTTGTAAGTCAGGTATTTCAGGCGGTTTCGCAGAACAGCGTCCTTCACTTTGGGAGTTTCATTCTCAAGTTCGCTTTTGAGTAAATGCAGCTTCTCAATGGCCGATTCAATTTTATTTTCAGAAGCATCCTTTAGAGCGCTTGTATACAGCTTATTGAGACCTTCTTCTTCGGCCTCTCGTGTCACCTGCTTCAACTCTGACCCGGAGTCATCGGAGCTATCGGAGCCATCATTGAGCGCCTTGATGCGGATCATGGCTGGCAATCGCTTGTTTGAGGTTTACAGCAACAAAATAGAAGCGTCATAAAAGAGCTGTTGGAGATGCGGTAGAATTTAAAGAAAATGGAGCCAAAACGATCAGCAGTCAAGAAGGGAGAAAAAATGAAAACAGAAAAATGCCGATACGTACTCTACGAGTGCTGCCATTCAGTCTGTCCGTCCAACTATTTTTACAAAGTGCTAACACGTTGGTTGCGATTTG